TAACATACATATACATATGTACATTACATATACATATGTAATACATACGTATCACATCACACAAAACATATAATGTAACATATAAAACATTCATCACATTCCACTCATCAAACAATTTTACATCGTCTATTTTTTCAACAATTTGTCTTTCCTTTTCCTAATTTTCCGTCTATATAATCCTGAAAGGATAATCTGGCCGAACCATTACCAACGTTTTTTTCCCTCGTCGGCTTTTTTCAATTCAAAGAATCCTACTCCTTATACAAAAATGTCTTTATATACCAACTTCCCCACCCCTTCTCCAACGTATATAAACATAAAACAGCAATATCTCACTGGTCAAGAATGGCACAATTACACAGAAAACAAACATTTTGAGTGAGCACAAATACTTTGATTGGATATAAAAAAAAAAATATTTTTTGCATTGTATAAATTCACATTTTTCCACATCCTACATGTATTTGTTAAATTTAAACAATGTTTGTACATCCCAGGCCCTGAAGATGATCTCAATAAAGATCAAAACGATGGCACGATAAAGAAAATGTTTTCCTGAAACCTACATCACACCAGACCGCATCTCACGATTTCTGAATAATCATCGACTAACGGTTTTCACATAAGATTTTTATTTTTCGTTTAAAGAATTTATTGTTATTGTGTAATAAACATAGAGAGCTTCTGTTTCAATCTTATTTCTGAATAATTTTTTCACACCGTTATAACAATCCTCACATATTTTATAGAAGTTTACAATCTGCAGTTAACAATGTGTGTGTGTGTGTGTGTGTGTGTGTGTGTGTGTGTGTGTGTTTTATCAATATTTATTAAGAACCATTTTTTAATTGGTTCAAAACTGGAAACATTAAAAACCATTGCCTAGACTGTTAATAATTATCATTAACTTTAAGTACTCATTATTGTTATAGAAGGTGAGTTTAACTTCTGTTCCCCCTTACATTTTTTGTACTATAGCTAACTTGTGTTCCCCCTTACATTTTTTGTACTATGGCGTTTTTTCTCAAATTTCAAATTAAAAATTGTTTGCAATGTTGAAATCTGCATCAAACACATTTCAAAAAATGTACGCTGATGAATATTTTGCCCTTTGAAATATTTCCTATTCGTTTTCCGTTATCCTAGAGAGTTAATTCAAAACGTTATAGCTCATTACAAACTAGACGAAAAGTAAAGCTTTAGGTGCCTCTTTTTAATTAAAAACGTCTCAATTAAAAAAAAAGGGGAGGAAGTTAAACTCACCCTGTATATACTGCCGATTGTTTTAGGACAGGCCAATTGCATCGGTCTTCGTCACCCGTTCAGGTCTTCTTCTTTAATGTTATTTTATTTTCCTTCTCGTATTTCATTAATTCTAATCCATTTTGCAAACTCTCTATCCTGTTGCAAGTCTCCCTCTGTACCTCAGAGTCTCCGCAGTCGAGGGTACCATTATTCGTAAACACACAACTTTACAAATATAAGAAAAACATATATTTTAAAACAAGTTGGTCTGCTTAGAATTCATTCTGTCCGGGGTAATTGAGAAAGAAGTCCATCCATTCACGCTAATAAATACATTCAAACTGTTCCAGATTACTTGATATTCCCTGGTGCCTCTAATTCAGAAATATGAAATTTTTCAGTGACCCCATTTATGTAAGCAGTTAATTAGAGACATACAACATATCTCATAGAAATGGTGAATAATGGAGTGAGTGCGGTGTTCAATCATTTTTTCTTTTTTTAAAGATAGTTCCTACTCACAGTAAGTTGTTTTCCAACGATCTGGATTTCGAGCCCCTTAGCTCATGATCAGGTTGAAGGAATTCTACAACCACGTCTCTCGATATGAATTGCAAAAGTAAAAAGTCACTTCCGGATCTTTGAAAAACACATATCTCATTTATTCTCGCCCGTGTATGCGATATTCGGACAAAAGCAAAGACACAAAATTCTGTAAACAGTTAAAAACAAAAAATGGGTTTGAAATATTGGATATGTGCTCTTTGCTGCGTCCATATGTTGCCCATACGTCATGCGAAATGTTGATGTTCTCACTTTGCATCCCATATTCCTTAAAATTCAATATTATGTGCTCTACAGTGCCAGTTTTCCGATACAACGGATACCGGTTTAAGCTCTTCCACGTTAGGAGGTGTTCGTATGTAATACTGGTGTGAACTTTGCGCAAACTAGTATGGATATCTTTTCTCTTTTGGACCCACCCTTCGAAGGCCAGGGTCAATAACTTTTATTACTTTAAAATTTTTTGTCAAAGTGACGAGGGAGGATAACATTAATTATTTTCTCCCCTCAACGTAAATAGTTGAACATAAGTTCATGTATCCGCAAATTACATATTGTAAATAATAATTACAGATTGTAATAAAAATAAATAATAATAATAAAATTTTTTTTTTGAAGTGTTGCTTTGAATTGAGTTAGGGCGTGATTATTGCTATAATTTATTTTTTATTTATATTACTATAAACATTACTATTAACTAGAAATATGTGGTGATTAGTCGATGATCATTTGGAAATCGTAAGGTGCAGTCTGGTGTGATGTAGGTTTCAGAAAAACATTATTTTTTTTAACGTGCACATCTTTCACGCATAAAACAAACACTTTGAGTGAGTAGAAATCCTTTGATTTAATATAAAAAATATTATTTTCACTAATTTCGTGGTCCGCTAGACCAATTAATATATTACAATTAATTAAGGTTTTTAGTTGAGAAAAAATGTCAATGGCACGAGCGGGATTCGAACCCACGATCTTCGGAGGGAAAACTCAAAAGGTGGGGTTGAGATAGGAAGTTGTTGTCCGAGTGGATCGAGGTCACGATAGCTCAAGTGGTAGAGCAGCGGCGTATCTAGCCGAAGATTGTGGGTTTGAATCCCGCTCGTGCCATTGACTTTTTTATCTCAACTAAAAACGTTAATTAATTGTAATAAAAAATATTTTTTGCATTGTATAAATTCACTTTTTTCCATATCCTTCATGTATTTGTTAAATTTAAACAATGTTTGTAAATCCCAGGCTCTGAAGATGATCTCAATAAAAACCGAAACGTTAGCACGATAAAGAAAATATTTTTCTGAAACTTACATCACACCAGATCGCATCTCACGATTTCCAAATAACTATTAACTAGTTTTAATTTTTGTAACATTTTGAAATTATCTATCAAATATATTCTTACATTTATGTATGTTTCATACAAACTTTGTTGTTTTATCCATTTAAAACTAATGATTTATTAAATGTTTTCTCTCATGAAACCAACATTTACAAACTGTACCTTGACTGTCCTCCAATTAAATTAACTTTTTCCAGTCTCTTAAAAAATGTATTTGTATTTAATATAATAGTGATTATAATTTAACTGGAAATTTCGTTTGACTCTCACAGCTGCCAATTAACACTTCTCGCATAAACAAAAACGTTTAGAGTTCGAAGTATATGAAAATCACGACCAACTCACTGACATGCGAATCTGTAAAACATTGTGTTGTAACATTTTAATGTTTAATTAGCCCACCGCTGCTCGCTGGATATTACATGCGAGCATGTCAAATTATCTTAATCGGTAATTAAAATTTAATCCTCTCGGGAAAGATAATTGAAAAGCGAAGCGGGTAGAAAGCCTTAAACAAAAGTCCGTAATCCTTCTTTTTCCAAAATACAGATTAGTGCAAAAGAACGACCTTATCGCTTTGTAAAACCCTTTTGGAAAAAAACATTACAGTCATTAAGAACGTAAGAATATGTTTAAAACATATACATTGAGCAGTACAAAGTGTGGATTATTTTTTCAATAGAATCCGCTTCATTAAAGTTTTTATAAACCGATAAACTTATAATTTAAAACAATTTTTCATCTTTTAGTTAGATTTTTATTTGGTAAATATAAAGAATATAAAGAAATAATATTATATTTTCTCTGTTTTTAATTATAATTTAACTTTTTATGTAAAGGTAGAGATCTAAAACATACAACTAATTTTCAAAGTCGGCGATGAAAAGTGTTTTTCTAAAGAACTGTTGATTAAAGTGAAAGTACTTTTGAGTCATTTTTTCTCCATCAATTATGCACCAAAATACGTTCAAAGGGTAGAAAAAAATATAAATTATTATTCTAAGAAATCTTAGTTTAAAAGCACGTTTAGTCTGAAATCAATAAAGAAAATAAATTGCTGAAATAATTTTTATTTTTAAAATGTTTTTGTGTTTATTTGAAAAACCTTCCAAACAAGACAGAAAAACAACAATTTTTCATATATAAAAAGAAAAGGAAGGACAGGAATATCGAAAAAATGAAAACTATTTTTTTTATAATTTTCAAACAATTGCTGTAAAAGTATACAAAACAAATAAATATTGTAATAAATGGAAATATAATTCCATTGTTTTATTAATAATGAAGTTTTATATCTAACATTAACCCATACACGCTATAAAAAACATATTTTAATTCGTCGTTCGTATAATCAAGAAAGTGATAATAATTCTTATATTTAATCCCACTGAATTTCAAGCCTATAAATTTTAATGTAATTTTATTAAAATAAATTATAATGATAGTTTTATATAAAATTATTAAAATTTTTGGGTTTCCTTATTTTGAATCTTTTACATTTACTAGAAACTTGTTCAATCAACAATATTGTTTTTATATATATATTGTTGTAAAAATCATTGAAAATAATAATTTTTTTTGCTTAACTTTTAAGTTTAGCTAGAAATAAATATGATTGTGTTTTTCACAAGTATTCGTGAAATTGTTGTAATAATTAAATTGAAATCCATTTTCGAATATGTCATCGTAAAAACAAATGACCTATTAAAACGCTTGTCAAATGCTTGACGTCAATTAAATCATATTGTTCGTCAACTGTTCGACAAATCACGTTTTAGACCTATTGGTTCGTGTTTAATTGGACAGTCCTAAACCTATTTCCCAATAATTAATATTCATTTAGTGTTAAACTCACCTGCTTGGATACTTGTTCAGCGCCGCTGGGTAGAAAGTGCTTCTGCATCAGGTTTGGCGCCAGAAGTTGCCTGGAAAAAAGCATAGAAGTAAGTATAATTCAAGTCGAATGGGATCATTAGAGTTTGTTAAAATGTTTGTAAGTCTCATTCCCGAATGTGAAAGGGGGTGCCAAGGGCCGGCTCTGTCCAATTTAACAAATGGCCAACAGAATGGCCAATTGGAGCTGGCAAAAACAGGCCGGGGCTTTCATTGACTTCTATACATTAATTGTACGGGACTTCTTATACAGCCCGATCGGTTTTTCCTCTTCGGGAGAATATTAACCTTTTTTTGTGATTACAAATAGAAATGATCATCATTCACTTTATGCAGGGACCAATCGTCTGGATAGATAATAATGTTATAAAATGCTTACAAATGTTTCGCGTCTTTCTTTTTGAATACAAAGATTAAACATTTAAAAAATCCTGCTTATAATACATTTAAGTTTTTTTGATATTGAAAAATTATATATCACTTCGATTTTAATTCATTGAGAATTCAGTTAATAATCAGCACGTTTATTGACATTCTACTGAGTTTTTCTTACCAAAGGGGATGAGAGTTCTAAACTACAATAGTAATTTTTTAAACAGTTTTTAATCAAGTTTAAAATTTTTAATTTTTGCTAAGACAACTAACCTTAACATTTTATTCTACTAATTAATCTGTACTTAAGGTATTGGTTGAGATAATAAAGCCAGTGTCACAAGCGGGATTCGAACCAACGACCCTCGGCTAAATACGCAGCTACTCTACCACTAGAGCTATCGTGACTTCAAAGTTGAGGAGCTGCGTATTTAGCTGAAGGTCGTGGTTCTAATCCCGCTTGTGACACTGACTTTTTTATCTTAACGAATACCTTAAATACAAATTAATTATTTGAAAGATATTATTTGGTCAAGCGTACCACGAAATCTAGTAAAATTTATTATGCTTTCAAAGAAAGTGAGTTTATAAGTTTTTAAATTACATTTTTACGTGGGTTCTCAACAGCAGAGGTTATATCAGTCCTCGGGGTGCCGGTGTTTTTCAAAAAAGCACATTTGTAAGAATTCAGGTTCGAATGCAGGGCCGCTGGATTCGAACCCGGCCTTAGAGTGATGAGCGCAGTGTCAATGCCTAAACCGACGGGCCTTTTATTATTTTTTATTATTATTTTTTATTTATTATCTTTTTATTTAAATAAGTTTAAATTGTCAAATTTTATAGCAAGTTCTTTTCTACATAATATAATCTACAGAAATCATTGANTTAGATTTAAATCATTACATTCATAAAATTCTCTATCATTATATAAATTCATTTTTTTAAAGAATGAATTCATTCTTTTTTAAATGTGTGATAAATATCAATTTAATGTGTCATTCTTGTGAGTCGTGTTGAGGGGTGGCAGTGAGATATTGCTGTTTTATGTATATATACGTTGGATTTTGAAAGGGTGGGGAAGGAAGTCGGGAAGAATGTTATGATTGTTTTATATATTATATGTTTTGTTTGGTGTGGTGATATGTATGTTATCGATATTGTAATTTGTAAAATTCAAACAATGTTTATAAATCCTAGGCCCTGAAGATGGTCTCAATAAAGATCGAAAGGTTGGCATGATAAAGAAAATGTTTTTCTAAAACCTACGTCACACCAGACCGCATCTCACGATCTCCAAATAATTAATTTTTTGTAATTAACGTTTTTGCACTTCAAAATTGACCAGCATTTAAGACAGCTTCTGATTGGAATCTCGCGATTGCTGTGGATCAGTTGACGCTTACAATTCATATCAAGAGACGTGTTACTCCTCCTACTTCAATCTATGATGAGCGTTTAATGTTCGAAATCCCAATCGTTGTAAACAATAAATCTGTGAGTAGAACCATCATTTTCAAAAAATTATCTACATACTCACCTTTCTGTTTTAGTCATGTTTGAGATATTATAAAACGGGTGGAAATAACACTAATAAATAAAAACTTAAAGATAATTGCTTTATATCGCAGACAAAACTATATTACGATATATAAATATTGGTTATTTAACGTGGGCTTTTGCCAGACCTAGTCCAAGTTGCTGAAAATCTGTAAAAGACAAAATTTATCTGACAGGTTACGAACAGCTTGGCCAGGCGAGTAAATTTAATCAATCCACTGTCAACAGTTTATCTAAGCGTATTCTATACAATGTAGTTTCAACGTTGCCATCAATTATATCTTCAATTGTCTAATGAACTGTGACCGCGTTGACAAAAGCGCGATTTTTCTCCGATTCGAAGGGCTCAGGTGATAAAAAAAATCTAGTGTTGTCTATATTTAATGGTCGATCCCCTCGGTTTTTTTACGGACCAGCTACCCTTTCACGTCTCCACTCGGTTTGGAAAGGATTATGCCGCTTCAAAAATTCCCTTTAGTCGGGTAGAAGGCAAAAATAAAGCCTTGTTAGTCTAGATATTTAAATTGTAAACAAAAGGCCTGCCCCTACCAGCCACCCGACTTATCTTGGCCTATTGAAAAATAAACCTTACAAAAACATTTAATTAAGCCTGTTCCTTTGGAATAGAATGAAAATTTCTGTTAAAATCCAAAAAAAAAATTAAATCGTTTAAAAGAGATTATTAACCTGAAATATTTACTACTTCCTCAATAGTATCAAACGTTTTTCAAACCGATTAGGTTTCGTGGGACGATTGACCAAATGAATTCATTTCAATTACATAATCGTTAAGTAAGGAATTGGTTGAAAAATGGCAAAAAGGAGGGAAAATACAAAAGGTCAGGATGAGATGGGAAGTTGGTGTCCGAGTGGATCGAAGTCACGATAGCTCAAGTGGTAGGGCAGCGGCGTATTTAGCCGAATGTCGTGGGTTCGAATCCTGCTCGTGACACTGACTGTTTTACAAATCTTTTTTCAATTAAAAAAATAGGCTTTATAATTAGATATTTTTTCTCAAATACTAAATTGTAAATAATATATTCTCAATCAATCATTAATCATACATCAGTTAATTATGTATTCAGTTTAATCTTATTTCTTTCTTTTTCTTCTTTCAGCTGTCTTTCTGTTATCTTAGTTTAATCATTTTTCATCAATAAATATAATTTTTCTCCTAGATTTTTGAATACATAAATCCTTAAAACATTGGTATCCAAGCCAATGGAGATTACATATAAACATTTATCGTTCGTTGAACTAGATCCTTTGGTTATTTTTATTTGTAATGAAACATTGTAATAGAAAATAATATTTTAAACCAAAAAAACATTTACATGGAACACAAATCCTATATAAATGCATCATTTTTGTAATTTATATTTTATTTCTTAAACATTTTTTATCATTGGCTTATCCAATAAATCAATGTTCTGGACAGTAGTCCTTACATTTTAGGTTTTACTATATCAATTTATTAAATTTAAATAGTTTTTTCAAACTGTCAATAAAATTAAATCGTTTAAAAGAGATTATTAACCTGAAATATTTACTACTTCCTCAATAGTATCAAACGTTTTTCAAACCGATTAGGTTTCGTGGGACGATTGACCAAATGAATTCATTTCAATTAATTAATCTTTAAGTAAGGTATTGGTTGGTAAAATCGGTCGTTTGCGGTTGACACACGGACACTGAATTTTGGGACGATGTCCGAATATGTATCCAGTATGCAGTTACAAAATGGTTTCTCACTGCATATCACCTAATTGAAGGGAGTCATTTCTTAGCTCCACATAGAGAGCGAGTATGCCACCCGAATGCCAATGCAGAGAATCTCTTGGTCCACTATTCCAATTTTTGGAGAAAACACGTGTTTAACACTTCATAGTTATTATTGTGTAAAAAACGTTTGCCGATGGATGTATTTTGTGTTAACTGATTTTTAGAATGTATTTATAGGCGTGAATGTGGGCGGAATATCAAGCACCCATAGACTCTCAGGCAAAGTCATAGATTTGATTCTGCAGAAATGTGAACGCATGTGCATATACGTGCAGACTATACAAATCAATCGATCAATTAAAATAATAAATCAATAGTAGAATTTACAAAAGCTTTGCTAAAAACATACTCTTATTGAAAACTCTAGAGTCCATCTTGAGCTAAAACTTTTAACTACGTTGATATTAGCTCAATTAAATCCTTTAGTAAAACTCCCAGCCTTCAAAATTTTTTCGCGTTGTTGTATCATTAAATATTTATTAAAAACCTATTAAAAACCTTCATTAGTAAGTCCAGTCGGACATCTTTAGTCAACATTTTTAAGCCCATTAATTAAAATGGAGTCGGCTTTCATTAGTCAACAGTTGCCTAATTAAGTCATTCATGTTATCTAATAAACAATATTGTATCAATTCTGTTAGTCTTCTGTAGCGATGTTTTTTTAAGATATTACAGTTTAAATTTTACAATTTCCAATTGTTATCCACTTTTGTCAATATTTATAGATTTTAATACATAATAATTGTCAATACTCGTTCAATGGCTATTATTTTACCTTTTGAATCTTTAAAATCTTTAAGTTATTTAATATTACGCATTTTCTACTAGACTCCAGTGTTAAATATCATTCTATATTATTGTTTAGTTTTTTCCATTCCATAATATTTATTTTAAATTATCCACTGTAATCAATGTTTTATTAATTTGGCCTATATAACATGTCCTTGTTACTTTTTAGATAATGCATTTAAACTCAAAACCTTCATTATAGTTCTATACTGGATTTTCATTGATTATTCTGTTTAATTTTTGTAAAGTTTCGCTTTAGTCAATAGAGCCAGCCTTCACTATTCATCCAGTTGTCTTTCAGTCAGACTTTTTATTCTATACAATGCCAATTTGTACACTGCGCAAGTAGATGGTTGGGTGTTTGTAGTTATGTCATCTTATGTCTTTGCAATCTTACTAACACTTTTTCTCTCCCTTTCTCTCTTTTTCTCACTCTTTCCGTCTCTTTTTCTTTCTCAGCAACCTACGTCTGACAAACGGAACGTCTTTCTAATCTGTGTATACTTTTCGTTATCATATTATCACTTTATTA